TCGGACCCTATCGTGCGATCCTTCAGCGGGGGGGTCCGAGGAGGATTTTCCACCGTCTAAAGTGAACCGTCGCCGGCGAAGGAAGTGGGAGGTCATTGGCCTTATGCAAATAAGCCTGCAACCGTTATTTCATATCCAAGAACATTGCCTGTATCATTAAATGTCGTCAAACCAAGACTTTATATCGTCATACGTGTCTAGTACAATCCCCTGCCACCAATCGCTACTTCTCCGGTACAAACCGATGCGCCGATCCACATTTCCCGGCCAATATAGCCAGGCCGACGGCAGCACCAAACCCCGGGTTCAAACCCGGAGTATTACCCCGCTTGGTACATGTGCATCATACCCCTTCTTTGCTGGGCACAAACTCAGCGTCTTGACAACGAGTTAAAAGCAGAATAAAAACAATCTGCTGCAGCATGCCGAAAAAAGGGGTTCTCTCGCCATTTTGAATTGGCGCGCGGCGTGCCATTCTGCGCTGTGGGTGTCCGCCACACTTTCTGGTCATGTGTCTAAAGCCAGCCGTCGTCCACAACGATTGTCGTGCGATCGTATACCGTCGTCAGTCTAAAGTCGGCCTTTGTTTATCTACAAGTTGATTTGCTCTAGTCTGTCGTGGATACGCGTCAGGACTATCCAGATCCGTGCGTGGGGTTGGTGGATAAGCAAGTGTTGTTTCCGATTCCAGGACTGAGCTTGGGTCAGTTTGCTGTCTTGGGTATACTACGTGCTGTGTTGTATCAAGAACTGTGTTCGCACTGTGTTGCAGAATGATACAAGACACTCTGTTTGGACACTACATGTAAGTCGTAGACCAGCGTGAAATGTAAAAATGTAGAGAATTGCACCGATTCTTTCTTATTCTTGCCCCGACGAAAAACAAAGATGGCGGCCTAAAACAGTAAACAACACCACGAGAAGGCTCCTCCCTCAAAACAATAAGCTCCACCCCCAAAGCACGGAATGGGACAAGGCCCTTGTGTGTCCAGAACTGTGCCCGGTCAGGCACGGTTCGGGACAGTCCCCGCGTGTCCCAAACTGTGCTCAGTCCCAAGGCACGGTTTGGGACACGCGCCGTGTGTCCCAAATCATGCCCAGGCATGGTTTGGGACAAGGCACGGTTCGGGACACAACAGACCCCGCGCCGTGGCTCATTCAAATTCGCTACATTTTTTTGCTAAGTTTAATGTCTTCACCCACGATTTTTGACCGTCAATGTTGACGGTAAGGACTTAAATTTTTACCGTCCGACGGGAAAAATACCGTCAATTGACGGTAAAACGGGCGCTGGCTAAAGCCCTGGTTGAATGTCACGAGGTTTGTAAACTTAGATGTTGGGACAAAGCCATAGAAGAGATTTTGAATAAAATTATATATATATATATTAACGTTACTTATAATTTAAGTTAAAATGTACTTTTGTGTCTCATTTTTTTAATTCTGTTAAAAAGACTCTTAAAAGAGAGAAAACAGGTTATAAACTGTTATATACTTGATTTTTGTAATGTTTTAAACTTAAAGAGTTGAAATATAGAAGTGCATGTTCTCTCATTATATACAATGTTGATGAGAACTAGAACCATTTATATAACTTAGGTAAATTAAAATGATAGGATGGGGAAAATGTTCGTAAAAACTGTAAGCCTGTAAGCGGCGAAAATGGTCAGCTTTTGCAGAAGCACTTGTTCCAGTAACAGTCCAAACTCAAATAACGTAGAGGGGGGGGGGGCGTAACACGGGTGACGACGCATCTGTATAATCTGCGGCAAACCGTTTCAGGGTGTTCTGTACCATAAAAATAGTACAGAGATTCTTTTGTTCTTTAGACCAAATTGATTATTAAAAAGAGTGAAGAATACGCATGTTAATTTCTCTAGAACGATGTACCTCTGACGAAGACATGAGATCTCCGACCTCTAGTCCTTTCTATTACTTTCTTCATCAGGCAAAACCTAACGAGATGTTTTGAAGGAGAACGTGCGTAAAGAAAGATTTGTTACGTCCAAAACAAATATCTAGAAGTTGAGTGTCTCATACAGATAGGTTCATTATATAGAAGGACCGCCGTAACCATATACTAGTAGCCCCATGAAATAACGCTTTAGTATGTATGGAGGAAAAGGTGTTTCCAAGGACGATTTCTGCAATAATATGTAACTTTTAAAGAAAAGAATATTTTCGCCTGGTAAAATAAAGGTGCAAAAAATATATCTCGTCCCTGGGTGGGCTCGAACCACCAACCTTTCGGTTAACAGCCGAACGCGCTAACCGATTGCGCCACAGAGACATCGTTGCGACAGTGTTGTTTGCATTGTCACCTCTTTGGTTTGTCTGTCAAAAGCCGCCCCACGCAGAACAAAGTCCACACAATGTGGTTAATGATTTGACAATTGTGCTGTAGTTATAGCGAATTCCTTTCAACTGCGGAAATGTAAGTTAATGATGTTACATGTAACGTTACAAGTTTCTTCTAAAACGTGTTTAGCGACAATGGCGACGGGGTAGCCTCTACCAGGCTTCGGGAGGTGGCTGAAAAGAGTAGAAATCGGGCTAATAGAGAGATAACATGCCAGGGGAGTGGCACACTGTTCTCTCCAGCAGAAAAAAAACTAACCTGGCATGTTATCTCTCTATTTGGCCGATTTCTACTCTTTAAAGTCGCCTCCCAGCCCGAACCCTGGTAGAGACTAAGACAACACAAGCACAAGCCTTTGTCATCGTGTTCTTACGTGAGCCATTGCCTTTCATCTGTTAGGTTACAATGTAATAAAAACATGCCTTTACCAAGGGAACGCTAGCTAAAGCATAGCTATGGGACATAAACTGCATAACGCATGACATTTCCAAAGGGAAAATGAAGTAATTTGACAAGAAAATGGCACAGAATGCACATTCTTTCTTGCTACTAGTAACTTTTAAAAAATATACCTTTTCACAACACAAGAACGGTCCTTTTGGGACGAAAGTTTGCCAAGTTTGTAAAGAAAATCTCCATACGCCCTTTATCTTTATACATTGTTCGAAATATTACATCAATACATTTACAGGAAAGCACTTCGCAGAGAAAATGGTCTTGGACTAGCCCCGATAACATTTTATGGAATTCATTTTGTGGACTCTAGGGAAGAGACTGTTCCTATGATAAGACCATGTTACACACTTTATCTCCAATCCACTGGGTCGCTGAAAATGGACTAAAAACTCCATACGGACAGTATGGAGAGTGCATGAGTATGAAGATACCTGTTTATGACGTATTGCAACCAACTATATGGCGCCCAGTTATGGAGCTCTGTTAGGTCACACCAACTTAATTTTATGGATGACATCCGAGCGCGCATTGATTTTCGCCTCTTCTTAACAAAAAACAAAAGGTCACGTCCACCGAGGCTCTGGTCTGGCTCTAGGCCTGGGTAGTCCATGGTAGTTAGTGACAATACGGAGCCTGTGGTAACTCTGGAGGACGGCACCCAGGGTACCGAAGCTCCACGACTCAAGAACTCAGTACATACGTATGTACAGTGTCGATTCATAAATTTCGCAAAAAAGGCAGCATGTGCCGGCTGGTCGAATACGTCGCTAAGTACTGCTGCACACTCACAATACCAGCTTTGTGTTCCTGTGGTTTAGTAGCATTTTTATTTTTGACCGCGAATTTTTTATTCGCCCGCGCGCACTAGTTTTGGGGTCTTGAGACGATGTCATCCATAAAATTACGGCGACGTGGCCTTATTATTATAACTCTGATGTTCTAAATGCCGAATTGCTTACAACAATTGCTTTAAAATTATTATGAATCTACTTCGGTGATGTAGTGCTAGCGAGATGTTTGTTTACTGCTACACTGACACATTTGAAACTAGGCGGAGGAGGATTTGTTACTCTTTCTTAAAGCGACTATTTTCCCCCCATAACTCAATCATCATTCACTTACTAAGATCTGACACTTCTACAGGAACTCTTTCTTCCGAAACACTTACGATTTACTATACATCTAGTTTATCTGTATTATTTGTATGTCCTTAGAGTTTTGTATTATGGGTTCTTTTTTATCTGAAATAAAGAACAAAGAAAGTATGTGACCCTACCTATTCGTGATCAATCATTTTATATTAGACGCTGGGAGAAACTAAGATTTAGTCGTAGAAGATTGATGGGCACTTATGTCGTACACAGTGGAGATGTAGGGGTGACCTGTGAGATACGGTGCACCGTGTGATGTAACAATTAAGGCGTCCTTCCGTCTCATGAGGCGATGGTAGCTTAAGACATCCAGTGCAAAAGACATCCAATGCAATTTAAGGGTGACAAAACTAGAAATATTCAGAATAAGGCAATCACACATACTGTCCCATATCAGCACTTTTGAATCAGTATTTCATACTTTAGGCATTTAAAACCGCAGAAACAAGCCCCAAGATTAGTCCTTTATTTCCTGGATGGTACCCTGAAAATCAACCCAGGCCCTTCCAGTGACCATTTTCCGTCAGAATTTTTGGACTTTTTGCTCCATGAGGGTCAATATACATTAGAACAGTGTAATTTCAACTCAGTATGTAGATAGATGACTATAGAATATTGGCTTTGAAAAATCGGCTTTCCAAGCTCGAAAAACTGCATTGGATGCCTTTAAGTTCTCTTTCCACTGGGATTCACTGAAAACGGTTCTTAACAGTCAGCTGGGTCAGTTTAGGTCGCGTTTGCAGGACTACGATGGCCCACAGGTACACCTTTCACCATCTGCTCAACCATTTCCTAAAGCGCAGCTGTGTCACAACATTTTTCTACTTTTCGTTCCCAAACTGTGGTTAATATTGCAGTTATCTGGACCAACATGACTCATGATAATATATATCTTAATATACATACACATTTTAAAATCTTTTGATATTCTCACTGAATAAGAAATGACTTTTTTCTGTAGTAATGTAGTAGGATTGTAGTACATCACTTTTGAGCTAACTTTAATGGCGCATCATTTTTTTTCCAAATATCAGGCGACTTTCTAGTAGTGGGCGGATCACCATCCACAAGAACCTGGCCATATCCTTCCTCCTGTACTACATTCTGTCCGTGGTGCTGTTTGAACCTTATATCAATACGCCGGAAAACATAGACGACTCCTACCGACAAGTGGTGAGTATGTTTCAGTGTATTACGAACTTTGCATTTTTACTTTGAAATTGATTAGAATTTTACAAATCCCGATTAGAAAGTCACTGTCAATGACTAAAACGAACAGACACGAACCATATGCATGGTTTACAATCACATAATACCCATGATACATATAACATATTTCCTCCACACACTTTTGTGGAACTGTCGCAAGGGTCTGTACGGCTGCCATTTGGCGCCACCAGGTGACCTCAATACGACTTTCTTTCCCCAACCGAAGTTAGGTACCCATTCGCACCTGGGTGGAGTGAGGAAAGTCGTGTAAAGTGCCTTTCCCAAGGGCATAACGTCGGGACACATGTCCAGATACGTCCCGGGTACAACTCGGGATCGAACCCGGGTCTCGCTGTTTCATTGTAGAACGATCACAAACAAACAAACAAACAAACAAACAAGCTGTACCACTGTGTTTCCCAGCCTCACTGTTTCATAGTCGAACGCTCTACCACTACGCCACCCGACGCCACACAAACAAGCAGACAAACAAACAAACAAACAAACAAACAAACAAAAAAGCTGTACCACTGTGTTTCCCAGCCTCACTGTTTCATAGTCGAACGCTCTACCACTACGCCACCCGACGCCACACAAACAAACAGACAAACAGACAAGCAGACAAACAGACAAACAGACAAACAGACAAACAGACAAACAGACAAACAAACAAACAAACAAGCTGTGACCACTGTGTTTCCCAGCCTGGCCTGTGTGAGTTCCTGGTCGGCGCCTCGCGGTATTTCTTCACGACGAACGTGTTCTGGATGTTCGTGGAGGGGCTCCACCTGCACAAGCGGATCGCCGTGGCCGTGTTCAGCGCCGAGACCAACATGCTGCTCTACAGCGCCATCGGCTGGGGTAAGTATAATCTCCAAGCAGATCCTATGGTGGCACTAGCCTCTTGTGCAGGCCTCAGGGCGGATGGGAATTTTGATACGTGGCGAGTACAAAACCTTCTCTGGGCGGCTGGTTGTAGGATGGCCGGCAAAAGAACGCGTTAAAATTCTACAAAACGCAGTATCAAAACTCCCACCCGCCAAGAGGCCTGCACAGGAGGCTATGGTGGCACAACAGTATCCATTGGTCAGAGGAGTGGCCATTAGCCTATATATGGACACTCTAGATCTGGCCAATGGAAACTGTCTTGCCACCGAAGGATCTGCTTGGAGATTATGGCATAAGGACAGACCTGCCTGCCTGCTTGCTAGCTAGCACGTTCAGTCCGTGTTTGAACATCATGTTTGTCACCCCCTTAGCCACCCATAGTGCTGCGTATTTCCCGAAATGTAGTAGGGTCAGTGAAAGGTCTATATATATATATATATATGAAAATCTTCTCATTTTGTAGATAGCAAATGGCTGGTATGCGCAGTATTATAGAATGCAAAGATCCAACTATCATAACAGATCTGAGTTGTTTAAAAACGAACTGTCACACCTGTGTAGGTATCCCGTCACTCCTTGTGGTAGCGTGGTCCGTCGTCATGGTGATGTTCCACGCGCAGGCGTGTTGGGACCAGTACAACCAGCTGCCTTACGCCTGGATCCTGTCCGGTCCCATCTACCTGGTACTGTTGGTAAGTCAACTTATAACTAAGCTTCGTTTTCACTAGCTTTGTTTGTTCAACCGTTTGTTGGGTAGTTTGTTCATTTCTGTATCATGCGACAGCTCGATTGAAACGCTTGTTTTACCGCTCCTGTGTGAAATCACGCGTGCTCTCGCCAGGTTGTGCTCTCGCGAGAGCTGACTCCAAAATGGCGCCAGTATTTGGAAAGGGGTCAATTTTCCGTCCTAACTATGTACACGTACCATGGTTTTGTTTCCCATTGGACTATGAAGAAAATGCCCTCATTTCATTTGCGTATCAATCAATATGTTTTTTATTGCAAATTCATGCCCGAGGGCTAATTGCATAAAGACATTGACAAGAAAATGTGGTGATACATGTATAAGACTATTTGCTAACAGGAACTTCTACGTGTACGATATACTTATCGAACCTACTACCTCTACTTAAATCTAATAACGTTGGTATACATACAGGATAAAAAAGTAAATATGCAATATGTGAACAGGTAATAGGAACAAGGTAACTGCTATTCTAATCTATTCTATTCTATTTAACTATTCAATAAATTCTATTCAATAAGTTCGTGTTTATGAACCTGCCGAATTTGAGAGCTTTCCAGCGATACAAAAGGTAGTGAGTGGATGCTACCTGAACTGTTCTTTGGGCGTATCTTATTACCTGGATGTCTAAACTTTGTTTTATTTCCTAGGTGAACCTTGCTTTCCTGATCAACATTATCAGGATCCTTGTGCAGAAACTGAAGGAGAAACAAACAGTCGAGAGTCAACAAGTCACGTGAGTAGCCAGGATTTTCATTGGGGAAAATTTGGGAAATCAAACCTTATGTGATGCCATTTCCTGTGTTTTGAGAGGATTTCAAAGGAGAACAAGCTGCTAGGGAGACCAAACCCATACCACTTATTACTGACAGGAAAAGCTATCCACCACCCAAAAATCAAGACCATAGCATGTCCAGGACAAAAGATACAAAAACCGGAAGTTCTGCTGCAGTACCAAGGTCAGAGACCAGGAGGCCCTTTGCCTTGACCTTTGCCTACCCAACACCTACCCACATACCAAATATCATTACAATCCATCCAAAGGTTCAAAAGTTATGCTGGCTACAAATGTGCGGAAACACAAACACACAGACACACACACACACACACACACACACACACACACACAGACACAGACAGACAGACACGTCAAAAACAATACTCATGGAGGTAAAAATCTGCGTCTTGTTCTCCAGGAAAGCGGCGAAGGCCACCCTGATCCTGTTCCCTCTGTTGGGGGTCCCGCACCTGCTGTTGATCTACGATCCGGCAGATGGCGGTGCTGGACAGTGGATCTATCAGATCTTCAACGCCTTCATGCAGGCCATGCAGGTACTGCACTTTTCATACACAGAAACCGTATTTGCTACATATGGATGGTTTGTATTCTATCGCTTTCTTATCGTTACAGAAGTTGATTTGGTGAAAGTCAACTGCAGCATGGCCAATCTGCAACGTGCATATTTGTTTGTTTCTCAACTGTGATTTTTTTATTTCTTGATGTGCGAAAACTGTTCCCAAGTATTGTTGACAGCCAATGTTACGTGCAGCAGATATATCAAATGTATTACTGATGAAGATATCATGGTTACATCGATACAATGATTACCCCCTCGTTATTTCCACTTAGGGAGTCTTCATCGCTGTGATCTACTGTTTCTTTGATCTGGAAGTAAGTTTAAATTCAAAGCACATTGTTCTTAACAAAATATTTTCAGCCATGATTAACAGAGACTTAAGCACGGTTCATTGTAATTTGGAAACGGGTTACGTGTTTTTGTAAAAGCCACACAGAAGAATTGTTTTCTGTGAAGTTAAAATTGCATCGAGAAACTTTTCAATGTACTTATTCGGACGACAAACGGTAAATCGTAAATCGCTATGAATAAAAAAACACCCCGTAGCGGCGAAACGATTTGACTGCAGTTGTTGGAGCTTCTATCGAACATTATGGTGCAGTCCTCCATTGAAATGCTAGAGGCCGCTTTTGATCCATGCACTTCACCGTCGTAACTTGCAAGCATGAAGTAGTTCCCCCTCTCCACCGCAGGTTCAGCGCGAGTTCCGCAGGATCATCGGCCGCTGGTCCCGCAGACGCTCCAGTACCCTCAGGAGAACCTCCTCGAGTGCAATGGTAAGAAAGAACATTGGTGCGATACCGTAATGAAATAAGAACATCAGTACGATACCACGGTATGGGAAAAACGTAGGTAGGATACCACAGAGTACACTTGATACATTACAAAGATTCATTTGTTCTTCTTTAGAAATAGTTTAGACTTTGGACCTTTTGTAACAAATTAAACTTTAGCAGAACTAGCAGACACTCTAAAATACACTTTCTAGCATAGAATGTCCTCGTATCAACGCATCACAGTTCATAGTATTTTTTTGTTTAATATTTTTGTAGACCCGCCAGTCACATCGCCCCCTAGCGGTGGACAGGTCCTTCGACAGGTCCATCAGCTACTCCGGATCGTTCCGGATGCACTCCATGCGCCGCGGCGTGGATAGCGGCTGTCCGCGCAGCACGACTGACGACTGGTACCCCGGGCACAGCTGCTGCAGCGCGGGGCAGCGCGTGGAAGCGCCCAACAACCTGCGACCAATCAGCGCTGACATATGCTGAGCTGAGGGACTGCAGTGGGAGTACTTGCAAGTAACCAACCAATCAGAGACGGAGTTGCTGATCTGTAACCACTCATGCGTTTGACATTGAGGTACTGGTTTGTAAGTAGCCAATCAATGGTGATTTCACTGAACACGTGACATCAAGGCACTGACCAATCAGACGGTATGCCTGATTAGCACAAACCGAGATGTACCCAATGAATTGAGTCTTGAATTTTGGTGGCCCAATCAGGTGACGCCACCTTGACGTACACTAACCAAAAGAAAACGGGTAAACAACCAATCAGAGTCACCCTTCTATCACATCTATCCAGGACCAAAGAGATACTGTATTTTTCGGAAACGTTTGTAAGTTTAAACTCCATTGCTGAATTGCTGCACTCGAGTCTTACTCATGTTTTGAATATCAACGATTCTTTTCCTTCTGACGATTTATTGATATATTGATGTTTCGTAGATAACCATATGTCGTCTGCTCTGTGTTGCAAAAATATGTGATTGTTAGTTTGGAAAATTGATGGACATTTTTTTCGTCATGGCTTACAGTTAAGTTGTTTTGTTCAAGATTTTGGAGTGAAGTTATCGTCATATTCCAGTTACTACGTTTGTGTATGGTTATATATTTCATTGCAAAAGTGACAACATTAATTCTTGCGTATATTTGATTTTGTTCTGTGTTATAATTATGACTATGTATAATTGTGTTATATTTGCATCAGTGAAGAGTTGTACTTGTATATTGACTTACTTATGATGTATTGTATATGTGTGTGAAAGTTTGCAAAGTGGATATATTTACGGTTAAGTAATAAATTGACTTTAACATTTTTGAACTCAAAAATTCATCAGAATTCAATTGATGTCAATTTAAGGATTTTGTGAAGTCAACAATTATATTATTCCAGAATATTGAAGCACATTACGAATTACGAGTTGTTGGTGTTGAATATTTGAAGTATGATGTTAATAAATGGATAAATCTATATTCCACATGATGTCTGTGGTCCAGAACTACATTAGTGGGCACTGAAAAGCTCTGGGATGTGTATTGCAAGGAATTCTGGGATGCGTATTGCAAGGAATGCTGGGACGCATATTGCAATGAATTCTGGGATGTGTTACTGCAATGAATTCTGGGATGCGTATTGCAAGGAATGCTGGGATGCGTATTGCAAGGAATTCTGGGAGGTGTATTGCAAGGAATGCTTGGATGGGCACCCCCCTCCCCCTTGGAATAAATCTGTTCTTTTCAGCATAGAGGGATATCATCACTTCCAGGTTAGTTTTTACTCGCTGCGTCACTACTGGAACATAACGCTTGTGTCAACATCTAGGCGGGAAACCTAGCGAGGCGGGGCGAGAAACAACAAACAATGAAAACACAGGATTAGCCATGTGATATGCTTGGGGTTTTAGAATTATGTAAGCGAAGTCATGACTGGGCCACCTTCATTACGCTCTATTATATCTGCACCTTTAACCACGACAAAATGACAATGATGTTTGGATAATGTAGGTCAGCTTGCGATGTCTCCTGCTATATAATCTTATGTAAATTGACGTTTCAGGAAGAATAGGTAAAGAATCCGGAGCTATTTTGATATGCAGCAGTAGCTTCAATAGCTCGTGATCAAACAACAGTATCTTTACGGGGTTTCTGCCGCTTTTCTAGCTCTGGAATATTGTTGGTTTTTTCCCCTGTTCTATACGATTAAAATAGATAAAGGTGAGAGACAGATAGATGGACAGAGAGAGAGAGCGCGGAGAGAGACAAAGAGAGGGAGAGATACAGGCACAGAGGGAGAGAGAGATATAAAAATGGAGAGAGTGGAAGAAGAAAGAAAGGAGAAAGAATGATATACCAAGACAAGAATCACACGTACATGTTTCGCGATTAAAATTAGCTCGTACAATCAATCAAAGCAGACGTCAAAAGAGGACGAGAATTTACAAAACAGCGTTTTAGTAACCAGGCACCGGCCGTATAGTACCGATCCCCACACTCTGAACGCCTGTCATGTTTACTGGAAACACTGTGGTAAATAGCTTGTGTTTTTATGAGGGAAACATGAGAGAATATATCGTCACACTCTCGTGCACACGAGCCCGGGCCCAGCTAGAACTATCAGAAGTGTGCTGGCGGCCACTTCTGACTAACACTTTGCACCGAAGGGCTTCCGTAAAACTACTTTTGGTAAAAACTATTTGTCTTTCGTTAGTTTCTACCGGACCCGAGGTTTGGTAGCTTCCTTCGGTGCAAAAAATGTAAAAAATGCAGTTTTGACCAACTTTTCTTTTCATCAGAGAAACCGCTTTTAGTTGTTGCTGAACGCAGAAATGGCCCGTTTGGCTCTTCTGGTCATTTTTTCCACGCTGTACATGTGTGCTACTGTCCATGCTCTACCACTGGACTGTCTCAGGCGACAACTAGAACAGGTAAGTAGCAGTTAAGATCTAATAAGAACGAAACTTATTAATTTCAATCAGCGTTAATGTTATGAACGAAATCTTTCACATTTCAGTGGTGTAATACGTACGTCTTCATGAGTTTTAGCATCTTTTTCGGGAGTTCAATTTGCCTTTAATTTAGACGTAACAGCAATGACGGCTTTGGACTTCACATGTTTTCAATATAGTTTTAAAAATCAAAGATGCGGGTTGTCTGAACTAGGTCCGTGGGCAGGTGCTATGGGTCTTGCTCTGTGTTCTAAATACACTGCACGCTGGTTGTGATGTAGTAAATGTTGTGAAACTTGTGTTGTAAACTACACGTCTCCGTACTGTCAACCGACGTGATAGCATGTCCTCCAAGAAAGTCTATCTGTACATCGTAACGTAAGAGTACACCTAGTTTCTTCGGCGTGAAGGAATAAGTTTTCTCAAAGTAATTGAACATTCTACAGTACTAGTAGTTTTGGCACTTAAAAATGTTGATTTATGTGAAAAACCATTTGACCACAGGTACAGTTTACTAAAAATTATTAGTCTACAAGATTTGGAAATTCCGTCCCTTTCCCTTTGTCTTTTGGGGAGTCAAGCCCTGTTTCGCCTACAACTTGTTTCACTGCCCTTGGGAAAGACACTTTACACGACTTCCCTCACTATACGGAGAAGTGACGCCCACCTGGCCTTTTGGCTAATCGTTGCGTTGATACTTTGTCCAAACACTGTTGAGGACACATCTGGTGTCGCCAATGTCCCAAGATCTGCACATTTGCCACTAAGAACCGTACATTTTTTTCCTTCTTACAGTTAGAAGAGCTTCACGAGAGAGCAGAGGCACATGGCGACCTGAGTGATCATGACGGACCGGACGTGGCGGTGATTTCTACAAGACAAGGTTTGTCTTAAAAGCCCGCTTTGCAAATGATCCTCTTATTTATTTATAACCTCCATGGTGTGGTAGGTACTGTTTTGGTCCTGGATAATATTTTTGGTGTTTACCTCAAGATCCGTCGGATGGATTGTGATGGGAACATATATTTCAAGGGACACCAGTTGGGATATTTAAGCGGACACCATTTGGGATAAGAAATGATCCCTATACCCCATCTTATACTGGCAAGATAAGAAAGATAAGTGGAAAATTACATCTACCAACTCCTTTAAGAAAACACGGTGTAAGAAGGAAAAGAAAGATATCCTAGTTATTGCACTTCTAAAGACACCTTTTGAAATTGAAATTGGTTTATTGCACAAAAGCATATTACAGCCCGACGGCTGAATTGCACGCTCATTTACAATGGAATAATAAACTTTGACTGGATTTATAAAATAGATACAATTCTAAAATCACTCTAAATGTGGTAGTGACCAACAAATCTAAAATCCCACTAAAAGTAGTATTTCAAATATGTAACGTTAGTTATACAACTCAGTCGACTTATAATAACATGTAGATTATTTGTCTGGTGGAAGTCTCAGTACCTTAGGTAGGCAGTCCATAAAATCGAAAGAAAGAAAGTTCTATACAATCATAGCCTAAACAGTTTAAGTGTTAAATATTTGAGGCCAAGAGGAGTCGTTACTATTGAGAGTCATTACTGTAGTAGAGTCTTAAAACTCGTGGTATGCCGACATTGACCTTACAATCATATCTTCAGGGCTATCACAGTAGAGTGTGTGTAAGATAAGATAACTTTTATAAAGTACTAGTGTTGCCTTAGCTCAAACTTCCTTGCATTCTTCCACATTTCCCATGCAATTTTCAGTCTTCGCAAGTTGCTAGGTAATCGTATGACGTCAAGTATCGCACGTTGTTGCTAAGCAACTGCACAATACGTCAGATCTCAACTTTTAACCTGTGTAGTTAGGCCACACTGATTTAATTTTATGGCTGACATCCACGCGCGCATTGATTTTTGCCTGTTTTAAAAAACAAATAAACTCCAAGGCTCTGGCCCGGGTGCCATCCTCTGTAGTTCACAGTAGTTAGCGACAGTAGAGAGCCGGCGGTAACTACCGAGGATGGCACCCAGGCTGCCGACGCTCCACGGAACTCAAGAACTCAGTACAGTGCCGACTCATTAATTCCGCAAAAGGCCAGCATGTGCCGGCTAAAAGTCGCTATGTAATACCGCAAATTCACAATACCATCTTTGTATTCCTGTGGTTCAGCAGCATTGTTTGGCTGGAATTTTTTATTCGTCCGCGCGCACTAGTTTGGAGGTCTTTAGAGGATGTCATCCATGAAATCAAGTCAGTGTGGCCTGATAGTCACATAATGATGGATATATTCGTCAGACAGATCTGGGTCCCTTTAACTTGGTCCCTGGTAAGAACTGACACCCGACCTGTAACGCTATCAAAGGAAAGGGGGGTTTTGATACTAAACAATCAAACATATCAAGTGTCGCTGGTACAAAGAAAGGTGTTTACTCATAAACAGGTCTGTGATTGAAACTCAAGAGTCGTTTACGGTGGCTGGGTTGGTTTTGTCCGTAGGCAGGATTTTGCTTGGCCGGGGTTCTTCCCACTGCTTGAGGGGACCAGCGAGCGCCGAGTGCGCAAGGTTCCTATGTGGTCCGAGGGCATGCTCCCCCGGGAAATTTTGAAAATTGAACCTTTTGAAATGGCATTTCCTGCGTTTTTAAGAGGATTTCAAAGTAAAAATCAGGGATAAAGTTTTAGTCAATGACAAAGTGAGCAGTTTTCCTAGAATTAGTGATACAAATCTGTCAAACTTTTAAAGAAAAATCTTGGACGAGGAAAAAGTGGACCTTTGAGTCTTGTTCTTCCGAACCCCTGAGCTTCCTATTTTCGCTTGTGGTGTCAAAGTTAGCATACATTTGAACAATAGAAACTAGTATAAACCTTTTGAAAATCAATTGTTAGACTGTACTTTTATTTTGCACTTTTGTGTTGTGAATTTAACTTTTTTTATCTAAAGCGATAAGTATTTGGGAGCTTTGATCGTTGTCTATCATAAACGACATTTAAGACGGCCATTTTCTTAATATATTTCTTGCAGAATTAAGAACTAGGACCTATCTACTGCTGAAAGACCTGGAACAGGTGAGTTATAAATCTGCATTTTGTAAATACGCCGAATGGGGGCGTTGCTACACATAACATGCTTTGTTATTGGAACGAAGATAGGATTGCATTCCATCTAGAGAACAAATCCTACATATCCCCTATTCCTTTTGTACGCATTGTATACAATGTACCATTAATCAATTGTCTATTCTATGTGTCTATTTTGTCAACAGAGATCTTTACATCGATATCTTCTTGAATGTCGAAACTCACAACACTGTTTTTCTTGTGTTAAAAAGATCGTGGAAGCCACAAAAGTGCACCAAGGAAAACCAAAAGAGCACAACATCGACAAACCAGACGAGAATTCACTGAATAAACTAGAAACGTATAAAGATGAAAAGGAAACCGTCAATATTGAAGGTACCAGTGACAAGGAAATAACAGTGGAAGATGACATTGAATATCTTGACCAAGTCGCAAAACCACAAGTTGTGGAGTCAGGGAGTGCGTTGAAGACAGACGTGTATCCCCTGGACGCCACAACTGACTGTATAAACACAACATCGGCCCCGGATGACACCACCGAAGAAACATCCAAAGAGCAGGCTGGTGTGGAGGCGAATCAAGAGATGTTCACTGAGAAAGAAGAAGGGATGTCTGAAACTGAACTGGTGTACACCGAGGCAGACATGGGGGAACTGGAGACTGCTGCTGAAGAGGTAGAAATGAAAGACCAGACTGTTGCAGAAGAGACGGCTGCAGAAGAAGAGACGGCTGCAGAAGAAGAGACGGCTGCAGAAGAAGAGACGGCTGCAGAAGAAGAGACGGCTGCAGAAGAAGAGACGGCTACAGAAGAAGAGACGGCTACAGAAGAAGAGACGGCTACAGAAGAAGAGACGGCTACAGAAGAAGAGACGGCTGCAGAAGAAGAGACGGCTGCAGAAGAAGAGACGGCTGCAGAAGAAGAAGAGACGGCTACAGAAGAAGAGACGGCTACAGAAGAAGAGACGGTTGCAGAAGAAGAGACGGCTGCAGAAGAAGAGACGGCTACAGAAGAAGAGACGGCTACAGAAGAGGAGACGGCTACAGAAGAAGAGACGGCTACAGAAGAAGAGGCGGCTACAGAAGAAAAGGCGGCTACAGAGGAAGAGACGGCCACAGAAGAAGAGACGGCACAGGAGGCTCCCACCATAGGCGAGGCTGACATAGAAGAAGAGGCAGGTACAGATGAAGAGTACCCCACAGATAATGCGGATACCGCAGAAGAGGTCGTCGAAGAATTAGAAGCTGCTGCAAAGGAAAAGCTTTCTGCACAGGAGCCCGTTACAGAAGCTGGATCAAGTGAAACGTCTTCAGATCTGACGGGTACAAACGTAGAGGCTACTGCAGGGGATGGAGAAGCTACGGAAGAGTCCATTATAGAAAGGGAGGATGCAGGGCCAGAGGACGTTAAGGAGAAAGACGACGCTACAAACGACAAGGTGGCAACAGAGTCTGTTACAGAGGATGGGACCACTGCATCAGAAGCTGACTTTCCAAAGTTACTGAAGGTGAGCATGTACTGTTTTCACAGTGATTGTTTTTCTTTCCACACACATAATTTTACCCCAACCATGCATAGTCTTGACTTAAAAAAAGATCATGGCTGTTCAAAAATTGTCATAAGCTTTTAGATGTTCAATACATTAACAGAACACAGTAATTTGGAATCATAGATATATATATATATGTATATGAAATTATATTTGTGCTGACCACTCACTCACAAACCCCTTCCACACCCTCAGGAGTCCATGCAGGTGCTGAAGGACCTGGTCAGCAAAATAAAAGACGACAAGAACACCCGATAGTCAACAAGGCGGCTGCAGGCTGTTCAAGACTGGCTTGGACAAACACATTGCTTGTTTCGGCTTGTAGATATAGCACAGTATGTTTGTCATCCATGTACATTGTGTAACAAATCTTGTATTATAGAAGCGTGTTTTTCGTTAGGCCACAGCAAGTAAATTTCCTTGAACTTATTTCCTTGAACATATTTATCTTCTATCCACGTTCCGGCATGGCAACAGACATCTTTGCCCACTTTCGGCATGCTGACCACTGTCAGAGGGCAACAAAATTTCTACTTTTTTTTCTTCTCTAAAACCAGGCAAAAATTAATACCCGGGCTGATGTCATCCATGAAAATTACTTGCTGTGGCCTTACTTAGCATAACAGATCAATTGTAATTGTAACCATGTACACTGTGGTTTAAGGTCATTGAAGATGAAAACATGTGAATAGATTGCTTTCAACGAGAAACAGTTGCGACTGTTTGAGAACTCGGTTTGTGTATTATTGTACAAAGATCACCACAAAAGGCCAGTGCTGCCTAGTAGTGTATTTGTCCATTACCGTGGCAATCCCATAGTGCCCCGCGCGCTGGACAGGTAGATAGATAACATGGCGTCGTCTGTGTGCACACATCATCTGTTACCGTCAGTGTCAGTGTCTGTACGCCACAGGTACGTCTTTACGTTAAGGTTTCTCCGGCAAATGAAACTGACTATGCTGCAGTGAGTAAAATATGTGCGTTTCGTAATGTTTAGCACCTAAACGAATCCCATATCCAACAACGATCTAGCTGCGTTATGTTGCTGTTGTTGTTTTGCTTTGATATGCATATGATGTGTTATTATTGCCGTTTTGTTCTGTGATTTTCCTTCAATTTATTGTACTCTTTCGGTATATCCATTGCCAACATTCCTTTAAGTACTTACATACTTTATCCAAAAGATGAGTCAATATTTGTTTTGGTTCTTCAAGCTCAACGTACTTTATTTTATAATGAGCGATCGCCATGACGTCACGGTAGGCAAAAACCGGGTGACGGTTGGCTGATTTGCCTACCACTAATTTGCATATGTCTTCAAATAATTTGCATACATGTGATGTAAACAAAAACAACGATCGCTCGTTGGTTGCCTGAACTGTGAGTACTTTACTGTTTTCAGTATATGTAACGTTACATATGTGCCGTGTGTATGTTACAGACTATTGCAGAAATGTATATATACCACAATACATTCAACTATCAAAGTGTGGGAGTGCAGTTGATTTTGTAGAGCTTTCTGGTAATGTCAAAATTCAAGATCAGTTAGATGGAATCAAAATAATAGAAGAAAAAAGTCTCCCGTGCTCTTGCCCGAGCGTAGGGTGGTGCCCATCTCCATTTCGTAGCCCTTGGGCGACACACAATTGTGCAATGCACTACAGCAGGGGGCTGGTCCGCTGGTAGTGCTGTGTGTTTGACCTTCCCACACTCTTTCTCATATGTGCTGAGTGCTAAGCAGAGAAAGAAGTGTGTACCATTTTTTAAGTCTTTGGTATGACCCGGCCGGGGTTTGAACTCACGACCTCCCGGTTACAAAGCGAGCACTCTACCAATTGAGCTATTGCACCGGTGTAAAATAATAGAGGAGCCACTAATTCAATCAAGAAAGTAGACTTTATTAATCTTGTGTTAAGCAGATACCAATAAAATTAATGTCTCCTCACATCACATCAAAACAAAATCAATTTAAACATCAATCAGAGACAATTGTTATTTTACATTATAGTACATTTACACGTCAGTGAACATTTAACCGACCAGCGGTATCTTTCTCCCATTTCTATTGCAAGAATGACAAAATCATTATGTTCCATTACTTAAATATACACACTAACGCTTAGGTTCCTTAATACTGATTGGCCGTCCTAAGGCCTTTCCTTGGTGCTGATTGGCCATCCTCATCCTTTTCCTTAATACTGATTGGCCATCCTCTGGTCTTTCCGTGATACTGATTGGCTATCCTTAGGTCTTTCCTTGGTGCTGATTAGTCATCCTCATATTTTCTCTTGATTATACTACTCTGTATTCAGCTTTATGTTGATATCTACCCATGTAGTACGACAATGACCAAACAGCTCGGATTTCACAAGGCCTTATATCACACAACATGATGTAACAACCTGGTTTACGAGCGCCACACTGCGACCCGCAGCGGCATAGCTTCACCTCCAATGACCCTCTATATTGACTGTGGTGTAACCCTCCATCACGATGTGAAGTTCTTGAGTGTATGTGATATCTATAGAGAGATGTTAAGTCCATAGTTCGAATACACAGTCAGAACCTGGCACTTCTACGTGTTATGTGGTGATCCCGGCAGTTTCAAGTCCATAGTCACCATGACGCGGTCCATAGAGAACGTATCGGTACGTCCGGACGCCCCGTTGGACCTGTAGTTTTGAGTTAGAGCATGTAGTCAGACTTCACACCCTTTCACTATAGGGTTGGAGCTCAGTCTGAGTTTTAAACCAAACGGTGAACAAACCCACTAAGATCTAGTGCACCCACGTCACGCACTAAGAAAAGCATGCACCTTAAACCATGCACGTGCTCTCATTACACCATACATGCTGTTGCTCTCTTATTGGTTTAAACCTATAGCAGTGCGTAAGTGTATCCCACAGTACATTGCGGTTTAACGCCTGTCACATATTCACAAACTTCCATATTCGTTCCTGAACACCAGTCGAAAAATGTCGGCTGGTGTTCGAGAGCACTCTGACCAGATTTAGGCCACGCCTACCTTTTGTATATGACTCAAAACAAATTTGAGTTAAATTAGAGTCAAATTTGATCCCTGAACACACCCCGAACTCTGCTGACTTGCTCCATGGTTTGATTGGTGTTTTGGTGACGTACGGTCGAAAACCATGGCCAGCAAACTATCATCGAACCTCTAGAACGCCTCATGAATGTTCTTAGCATTTTGACACATTCGGCTGGTGCCGACGGACCCACTCAGGTCGGCGGGCGTTCGGCTAGCGTTCGGGAGTCGCCAAAAGTGTGAATGTGTGACAGGGGCTTTCTTTCCCTTCATGCCAGGATATTCAAGCCACGTTCCCATGCGTTTGTCTCAAACACGCACGTCACAGTTCTAACTCTAACGGTCCAATCAAAGAAAAGGGAAAATTGACACAATCAACAGGCTGCCAATTAGATACTCTCTACGTGAACTGAGTCTCTAAAAACGCCACGGAGAATGAAGCAGGTAGGACGTAATTATAAGCTTATTCACTGCTTTCCTCGGATGTAGTCCCAGGACGCTAGCACCACCGCCGCTACAAACGTCAGGAAGGCCGGGACCGACACGCAGGCGGCGAAGATGGAGTCGGGCGGGTCGAAGGGCTCCCGCTCCCGCTTGTACTTCCCCTTGCAGTGCCCGTACGCTGTCTCGTGTACCCTCTTCAACACCTCGTCTGCGAGCAAGCTTTCCGTGTAGTTGGTGACAGTTTGGGCGAAGTCAACGCAGTCATTCAGCTCCAAGTACACCCTACAAACCACAAAAATCCAGACATAGTGAATTTCTTTACAACGTGATTTTCTTTACAACGAATTTCTTTATTTCGTTACAACACAAGGCATGGTGACACCACACTCAAGTTATTTTTTCAACTTATTTTTATGCCGCCACAAGCGCATAGGACAATTGCCAATACTCATTGTTAAGTGAGGAAAGCCTTTCCCAAGGACACAAGATCTATGGCATGACAGGATTCGAACTCGCGACATCTTGGTTTCGAACCGAGCACTCTGCCGTTACGCCACACAAAACAACCCCACGTGCTCATCGTGAATTTGTTAGAATACAATATAATACCAAAGTCACAAGGTTCTTAAAATGATACTAAAATCATAATATCTGTTCATAAAATCACACTATCATAATGATTCTGTTTCCTCTTCTTCTTCTCCAAACCAATAAGGTCAATGACCTGAACCAGACGTCTGTCACCATGGTAACTAGTGTTGGGTTACATCATGTTGCAGTTTTATAGCAGGAGGGATTAAGACTTCTATCACCATATATGTGAATGTGTTTGAGTAAGAATTAACAGAGCAGACCATATGGGAAGGTAAACATTAATATGCATTTGCTTTGCAAATGTTACTTTTCTAGTATGGATATATATGTGACAAAAAGGCGTCTCTATACACGTATTTACCCGATCTGATCCCCTGGCCATGTACAGAGGCTTTCCTGGTCCATGGCAGCTATTTTCCCCAGGAACACATCGCTGCAGTTCTGTAACATCCCCAGACAGACGTACCTCCTACAGGCGTCTACCTGAAGCTTCGTCATCCGATGAACGCCGTAACTTCCTGGAATAGAATTGTGGTGGGGATTACGCAATGATCCACAGTGCTTTAACTTCCTGAAATTGGAAAACCCGCCGTATTTCAAGAGGGGAGTTTCATTTCTGCTCCAGTATTACCAGAACGTACTAGTATTTGAAAAGCCCAGGTAACGGCGTAACTTCCTGGAATAGAATTGTGGTGGGGATTACGCAATGATCCACAGTGCTTTAACTTCCTGGAATTGGAAAATCCACTGTATTTCAAGAGGGGAGTTTCATTTCTGCTCCAGTATTACCAGAACGTACTTCAAGAGTCCAGGTAACGGCGTAACTTCCTGGAATAGAATTGTGGTGGGGATTACGTAATGATCCACTGGGCCTTAACTTCCCGGAAAAGGAAAATTCACTGTATTTCATGAAGGGAGTTTCATTTCTGCTCCAGTAGTACCAGAACGTATTTCAAGAGCCCATGTAACGGCTTAACTTCCTGGAAAAGGTATATAATGATCCACATTGCGTTAACTTCCTAGGAAAAGGAAGATGAATCACGGTGTTACCAACAGGGAAGTTTCATTTCTGCTCCAGTAGTACCAGAACGTATTTGAAGTGCCTAGCTTTCGTCATTTCGTTATTTATTTATTCAGGTATTTAGCTTATTTAGTTATTTATCTATTTACGTATTTAGTTATTTAGGTATTCAGTTATTCAGGTATTTAGTTATTTAGTTAGTTATTTTGGTATTTAGTTATTTAGGTATTTAGTTATTCAGTTATATAGGTATTTAGTTATTTAGTTAGTGTTCTGTTCTTACCTCTCCCAGGCATGGTACAGTCCGGCCCCACGGTGTCCTGGTAGGTGTAGAAGGTGGGGAAGACCGTGGGGAGATCTCGTAACGAACAGCCGGGTTGTTGGTGTAAGACGTAACTTGAACACACAACGAAGTCCCTGTACTGACTGGAATGGTAGACGCATTTGTACCAAACTGTTGAACTTTATTCAAGTAAGAGGGTTACTCAGGACCAAATTTCCAAGATACATTTAAAAACTAAGCCCGATAAAACGCCTAAAAGCGCGTCAAAAATAAGAATAATCCTCTGCTTGGAGACTAGGTCTCATGTGACCGCACCCTTACCTGCAGAGTAGTGTGTCATTGTCCGTGAGTAGGTGTTCTTCGCTGCCGGGGAACACGCCTCTCTCCAGGGCTTGGATCTTCATGCTCGTCATCTCACTGTACATACACGTACTGCCAACTTCCTTCAGGGGCGCTGAGAAACACATACATGTAGCAAATTAGAAAGGTAACATTTGCAAATAACATTTGCAAAGCAAATGCATAATGCTTACCTTCGCATATGATCTGCTCTGTTTCTTACTCACTTCTAAAATTACTTATATTTCTAAAATTCTTTCTCAAACACATTCATATATATGGTGACAGGAGTCTAAATCCCTCCTGCTATAAAATTGCAACGTGATGTAATCCAACACTAGTTACCATGGTGACAGACGTTTGGTTCAGGTCGTTGACCTTATTTGTTTGGAGAAGAAGAGAAAGAGGAATCAAAGCAAAACGATATGATTTCCTTCAAGAAATAAGCCATTTCAGACTTCCGGGATGTACTTTAGGTTTAAGATCGCCCCATTTCCTGTGTCCTATACCCTTTGGCCCCGGTACCATCCTGCCTGTCAATCTTCCCCACTCACGTGCTGTCAACGTACTCTCAAGCTCACCACATTTCCTGTGTCTGACCTTTTGAACTGTCTTGTCAGCTGTAATACTCTTGAATGCCTTTAGGCCTTCATAAAGGCCCAATTTTACGTACTGTAAATATTCACTCTGTCATTTATTATCTATGTTGCATATTACGAAAATAGCATTGGCCTGTAATGAACTATAGCCTATTAGCAACAATTTTGCAAACTATCTTACAACGTCCTAAACTATCTTGGAGTGCATTTTTCACAATATTGCCAATTGAAGTCTTTTCTCTATAATATTTACTGTGATAGTGAGAATATAGAGATCACACATACCGCGTATGGAAATGATTGATATTCCATATTTATCCTCTCAATTTTTACCGTTTGTACTACAATAACTCAATCAGTAGTAGCCTGGTATCCAGTCTGATCGTGATTGGGGGTATTGGGGTGTTTAGGCAGGTTCGGGGCCTCTAAGAGCTTCCCCCGCCCAGTGCAACAGACCGTCCCGGTAGGAATGTTACGCTAATCAGAGACAGTATGCTTGGGGATTTGGTTTCCCCCAACACGATGTTCGCGGAGGGCTAATTAATCTCTCGTGAAATACACACCGGGAAGCTTATGTGAGGCGGGCGGGCCAGAGCTCTTGCGGCCCCGACCACGAATCAGACTGGATACCAGGCTAAATCAGTAGGAACGTGTCATGATTGAGAACGTCATGTATATTCTGTTATCTTCTTTATGCACGCATAGCATGTCCCTCTATTATCAGTTATCCACGAAGCTCTAGCTAACCCACGGGAGAAAGCCAGTGTATCCAGCCGACGTCATGAAACACTTTACTTGTCCCAAAAAATATATCGAATGTACGTCAATAAAATCCTCCATAACACCGTACGTAAAAGTATATACGTGCTCTTGGTATTAAATACATGGTTATTCCGTTATGAAATAAAGACTGAACTTTAACTTCCAACACTAGATATAGAATTGGGACTTACCCCATTATTTCATAATGATTTGTACCAACACAGATGAACTTTCATGCTACATGGTTATTCCTTTCATATGCAATTTTTCCGTAAGTATTCTTGAATGCCACCGATCTTGTGCCCTTGGGAAAGGCACTTAACTCGACTTTCCTCACTTCGCTCAGGTGAAAATGAGTATTGTGTTGTCCCCTGTGTTGGTGGCGGCATTAATATGAGTTAAAAAAAACTTGAGTGTGTCCCCACCACGTCTTGTGATTACAATTTAAAGAAAATGATATGCAACATTACCATATACCTCAATTTGTAGCTATCTTGTGTAAGATTTAGAATATTGACTTAGATCAGTCGATATCATAACGTCAGTTGGCAGGATATGACCATAAATTATACTAGAAATACAGGAAATAGCGGATTACAACGTGACATTTAATTATACACAGTCGAAGTAGTGCGTCACACACTTGCGAGCAAAGTTACGCTCACGTAAATCTCAGAGTAGTGAAGATTTGGCCACAGCAAGTACTTTTTATGGATGACATCAGCGCGCGCATTAATTTTCGCCTGATTTTTGAAAAAAAAAAGAAACTCATGTTGCCCACTGACAGTGGTCTAGCCTGGGTGCCATTCGATTTGTAACGGCAACCTCGAAAAAATCGGGGTTGCCGTTACAAATCGGATGGCACCCAGGCGGCCTAACACTGGTCAACATGCCGTAAATGGGCAAAGATGTCTGTTGCCATGCCGGAAGGTGGATGGCAGAAGCATATAAAGAGAGGAGACAAGACAAGGCTCTGACTGCTGACTTAATGTTTTGTCTTTTACTTTGATGCAGTGATGTATTTCTTTTACACATGTATATGTGATGGTGGCTGTGTATATGTGATGTTCCCACTGAATCAAAACCATTTGTAATGATTGAAAACTTATCTTTCAAAGTTGTTTCAGTGACAAATGGATGTTGTAGTAGTTGGCAGTTAACGTAGCACAATATACGTATCATTTCTTGTTTAACAAGGATTATGATCATGTCAAACTTTGAAAATGTAGGAATCTTGTTTTCTTGGCCCGCCTTGCTTTTTTTCGCCCTATCGCATTAGATTTGGAGTCTGCGGAGAATGTCAAACATAGAATTTACTTGCTTTGGCCTTATCAATGCAGTGTTGCGTGTATTACGAACTGCAGGGCTCATTTTTGAGACAGATCCAAAGATCTATATATAATTACTTGCTTCTACATACCGTGTCTGTATGCTACTGTTATCGTCAACTGCCTGCATGCCGTGGGCTATAATATTCAGACATCCATTAGGTGATGTTTCGATGAAATTCTTACGGACTACATTTCAAGGCTTGATTACCTCCATGAAATGTGTCATGGAGGTTATATTTTCAGTTGCGTTTATCTGTCCGTCTGTCCGTCTGTCCTTCTGTCCGTCTGTTGGTCAACAAGATAACTCAAGAACGCCTGGATGGATTGGTTTCATACTTGGTGTGTTGGTAGGGTGTGACGAAAACTGGAAATGATTAGATTTTGGTCCCCCTAGTGGCTTCCCTTGGTACTGCAGCGCAACTTCCGGTTTTGATATCTCGCGATCTGGACATGCTAGGGTCGTAAAATTTTGATGGAAGGTAGCTCTCGTGCTTGGGAAGAAGTCACATGAGTTTGGGCCCCCTAGCGGCTTGTTCTGGAACTGCAGGGCACTTTCTGGCGAAATGTTTAAAAGCCAATAAGTCCAGACAGGAACAACGTATTTTCATTATTTTTGGTGTGTAGGTAGCTGAGAGAGAGATGTACATAATTAAATGCAAATTATGCAAATGAGGACTTTATTTGCATAATTAATGAGGAAATTCTATAATTACAGTGTTTTACATTATACTACTTACATACATGTAATGTATGTAACCTATGGCAGACGGAACTTCAACAGATACTAATTATGCAAATGATGACCTAATTTGCATAATTAATGCGAAAATTCTATGATTTCGTAATGGTGAATGATGAGAATGTCATACTTGGGACATCTGTAAGTTAATCAAAAGTTAACATACATCACGATGCATATATCATGTTAATGCAGAGGTCATTTCCACAATTAAAGAAGACATTTACATTTACATATCAAGATCATATTTCATGGAGGTATGAGATCTCGGAATTCTAGTTGTGTAATGCTATGCACAGGACACGTACACATTTTTCAAAACAACTTGAATGTTCTCCCTATTTATGTTTACCGAAGGAAGACATATTGTTTTTGCTCAGTTTCTTCTCTAAACAAATAAGGTCAATGACCTGGACCGGACGTCTGTCACCATGGTAACTGGTGTTGGGTTACATAATGTTGCAAGTGCCATGCAGAACTGAGTTCAAGAGGGGCTGCATGGTCACCATATATATGAGTGTGTAAGAACAAACAAAGCAGTAGTTTGTTAAGCTGGACCATGTGAAGGTACATGTAAACATAATGCATTTCCTTTGCAAATATTACCTTTCTAGTTACTTTCTAGGATTAAAATAAGATACATACTTCTAGGTCCTAAACGTTTTAACACTGCAGAAAAGAGAGTCTATCGTTTGGGCTCTTGTAAGTGTTTGGCTGTGAACCCGGCTTCAGGACACGATTTGCAGTCCGAGGCAAACTCGCTATACAAATTTACAATCAGTGGATTTTACAGGTCGCCTGGCAAGGTGTACAGTAATTCCCGCTTAGTACAGGGGCGCGATCCCAGGAGAGGTAAGGTGTTAAGAGGTTACCCTGTAGTGCTACACACTTTCGTTACATCTCACAGCCTGGCAATTGCTTCGCTAGTCGCTGTAATTCCGTTTGAAACGATGCCAATATAGCTGCACTGCTATCGACAAGAAATCGGAGATTTTTCAGATTTCAGAAGTGTTTGTGGGGTTTTTACCCTCCGTGAAAATGGTGGGCACTGTTTCCAGTCTGAATGATGTTTTTTTTAACGGAGTGGTTCAATGCAAGGCCTATACGACCACTTCTCGGCACTGAAGTAGAAATATGAGAGAAACATGGCTATGTCAAGAGATGGCGGTGAACATTTGATTTGAAAGCCTGTAGATTGTAGGTTGGTGGGAAACACTTGTCAGGGAGGGAATTCCAAAGCTTTGCCGTACGGGGAAAGAAACTGTCACTGTAAAAAGATTTCGAACAAGGAATTTGAACGGTGAAGTTTTGGTGTGTATTTCAAGTTCTATCGGACGGAATGCGATGGTATTTGGGGGGTGGGTACGTGGAATACAGAGGATTGCGTTGGTCGACTTTGGGCCCCTGGTGATTGACCTTGGTACTGCAGTTAGAATTTTTAAAAATATCGTTGGCACTGGATGGTCTTTGAATGTGATGTTAGGGTAGCATGTAGTTGTTGACGTCAGGGTTTAGTGGTGTAAATTTGGGCCCCCTAGCTGTTTGCTGTGGACCTGCACGGTTACCTGGGTTACTTTAAGTCTTGACCTCCCTGTCAATCTACATGTGGTAATCAAAAGTCCACCCACTCTCTCTGCAACCGTCTTAGCTGAACAAATATGCACACAAAACCACAGACAAACCCACTCAAAACAAAACCTCCGTCCCCGGAGGCAATAAGTGCAAACGGATACACACAATATGTTAAAGGCATCCCATGCATTTTTCAGGGCGGCAAAACTGGAAATACTGTGAATAAGGCAACCTTTATGATATTAACAAATACTGTCCCAAATTAGCACATTTGAATCTGTATTTCACTCTTAAGGCATTTAAAACAAGCCCCAAGATTAGTCCTTTATTTTCTGGCGGTACCCTAAAATTCAACCCAGGTCCTTCCAGTAACCGTTTTCCGTCAGAATTTTGGGCATTTTTGCTCCACGAATGTCGGTAATACATTGGAACAGTGTTGTTTCAACTTATGTACAGTATGTAGATATGTAAGTGAGAATATTGACTTTGAAAAATCTGGTTTTCAAGCCCTAAAAACTGCACTGGGTGCCTTTAATGTATCTATGCTCTATGCTCTCCACTTGTTTTAACAACGAGTCTAAGAAGCATTTCTAAGAGCAAAGTCTTACCGGCCACAAAGACGGAGATAAGCTTGAGGATGAAGATGTAACTGTGTCTCCTCATAGCGTCAGAGTATCTTCAGTTCTCCCCGTCTTGGCACAGACAACGTTGAGATGGAATCAGCTCTGCTGCTGCCCAATCCTGCCTACGCAAATGAAAGGCCGAGAGAAGAGATCCTGATCAGAGTAAGGCCACAGCAAGTAAATTTCATGGATAACGTTCTCCCCAGACTCCAAATTTAATGCGAGCGGGTGAAAAAACAATGAACGGCCGAGAGAAGAGATCCTGATCAGAGTAAGGCCACAGTAAGTAAATTTCATGGATGACATCCTCCTCAGACTATAAATTTAATGCGATAGGGTGAAAAAAGATGACCCATCCTTTCCGTTTGCACAATTTCTGCTTCCCTGCAATGTTTTCATGCAACGGAAAGGCGGAAATTTGTACCATCCACTGATAATCATCACGACGAATCCCTATTAGTAGTTATGAGGCAAACGATACTGAATTTCTGCTAAGGCCACGGCAAGTAAATTTTATGGATGACGTCCTCCCCAGGCTCCAAATTTACTGCGAGCGGGCAAAAAAAAATAAGGCGGGCCAAAAAACAAAAATTCCTACATTTTCAATTTTTTACATCACAAACCTTGTTAAACAAGAAGTGATACCTACATTGTGCTAAGTTTACTGCCAACCATATTGCAACATCCATTTGTCACTGAAACAACTTGAAAATTTGATTCCTCTCTTCATATTTATCTCTTCATTTTTCAAAATCTTTTACTACATTTTGTCTATTATCGGCATGTAACAAAATTTCTTTTCTTTTTCAAAATCAGGCAAAAACCAATGCGCGTGCTGACGTCATCCATAGATATTACTTGCTGTGGCCTAATGTCGGCACACAGAGACTCAAATCGCAATCTCTACCGATAGAATCACCTATTCCGCGAGATTGCAATTTCTACCCTGACATAAAGTTATATGTATGTATGTATAGATATATGTATACTACCTTCTGCATAATAGATGAAGCACATGTATGTTTCCATCGAGTCTGAAAGCTCGTCAGATATAGAATTATCTGACAGCTGTTACTGTGCACTTAGGCCTAGGAAAAAAATGTCGTGTTTCCTGTTTCAGTCCTGAAAAAATTAGGGTCGGTAGGTAGAAATTATCTCTTTTTTTTTCTCTCTTCTTTTTTAGACTTTGGCGGTCTCTACTCTACTGATCCAACTTGTACCAAATGCAGTTTAACAAAGTAAACTGCATGAGGACACTTATATTTTCAACGTCAATATTGGAAAACCGGTTGTACAACGTTTCATCACTCAGGTGTCAGATCATGGAGCTAGAAAAGGTGGGTCAGCTAAAAAATATGTCGCTTGCACACAGCGTCCACACAAAAAAGGGTCGGTAGTTTTTTTTCTAGGGTGGGCAGTTTTTTCTAGGGTGGGCAGTTCTTTCTAGGGTCGGCAGTTTTTTCTAGGGTGGGCAATTTTTTCTATGGTGGGAAGTTTTTTTCTAGGGTGGGCAGTTTTTTTCTATGGTGGGCAGTTTTTTCTAGGGTCGGCAGTTTTTTCAAGGGTCGGCAGGCCGTTTTTATCTAGGGTCGGCAGTTTTTCTAGGGCAGTTTTTTCTGGGGTCGGCAGTTTTTCTAGGGTCGGTCGGGAAACAGGAAACACAACATATTTTCCCTAGGCCTTACCGTCATGACATGTGGAGAGCGAGAATCGATAACGAAAAAGGTTTTGACAATTTTATTTGTGCTCGGGGAAGGGTCAAGCGCCGAGAGAGTTGTCTCATATCGTGTGAGCTGAATGATATCGATCTTAAATGAGCTGTGTGAAAAATATATCTGTATCTGTATAGCCGGTATATGTATATGGATACTAAGTACACCCAATAGGTCAGCAGTTTCAATATAAGTATGTATATTCGCCTTATTTAGTAGCGTTTGTTTGTTTGTTTGTTTGTCTGTCTATGTCAGTCCGTCTGTTTGCCTGTTTGTCTGTCTGTCTGTCTGTATGTATGTATGTATGTATGTATGTATGTATGTATGTATGTATGTATGCACGTATGTACGTATGTATGGATGCATGTGTGGGTGTATGGATGGAAAGATGGACGGATGGATGGATGGATGGATGGATGGATGGATGGATGGATGGATAAATGAATGGATGGATGTAGTTTAGCACGACAATTCAAGAAGCGATATGGATGAATTATCAAGAAATTTGGTAGGAAACTCTTAGCTTGACATATCAAATATTTAAAGAAATGATTGTAGATTTTGGACCCCCTAGTGGCTGTCCTTAGTACTGCCGCTACAAGACGTTCGACTTTGATATCTCGTGTTTAATTCTAGAAATACTATGTTGTTCTTGAGAGGAACGCTATCACCAACGACCTTTTAGTTTTACCGTGTTTGCTGTTGGATATAGGAATGCATACTAGTAGCCTACACACTGTTCTTCGTTGGAGTTTTTTTGGGGACTCTGTATGCTGTTTTCTGATTCTATATCAGTTCAGATGGCTACTGGGGTTCTAACAGCCTTCCAACCTGCACCCTGCCGTCAATTCTAAGGCTTGAGGACTGTTAGACACATGGCAGCTTCCAGAAAACTGATATTTCAGTCAGGAAACTGCACGTAACAAGCCACTAAACGAGTCTATCACGAATCCTGCTATGACTAACAAGGATGTCTCGCCGTGACAAATATACCTTCGTATATACCCTAGGTGCCAAACTCGTTTCGGGCCGTTAGCCGTTTTCCTTCGGCAGCCAAGAGCCCTTCCCCCGCCGGTCTAAATTGCCGCTACGGAGGAGTCTAGCCCGACGGGAGTTTGGTTGGTCCTACAACGAGTTCTAGGTCCGGACAAATTCTCCTCCGTAACGGTAATTTAGACAGGCGGGGGACGTGCTCTTGGCTGCCGAAGGGAAACGGCTAACGGCCCGATAATAGTTTGGCGCCCAGGGTATGACAAATATAGAGAACGAAGTCTGTGATTGTCATTCTGTGAACATAACCACCAACCGTACGTATACCACATTAACAACCGGAGAGCGTGGACAGAAATGTGATGTCGAGTTTCATTTGGCGGAAAATTTGTCGTTGCTGACGGAAAGGTCCAATAGTTCCTCCTCGCCTACGAGCTGATTTACGCATTATAGTCTCCCCGCCTTCATGTTAGAATCTCGCAGCGGATAATTTGGGCAAGTTTCGATCGAGATGTGGTGAGACCTACAGCTCGTTAATTGCAGGATTGATTTCTGCAACGTTTTTGAGTATAAGGCCACACCAAGTAAATTTTATGGATGACATCCCCGCGCGCATTGATTTTGGCCTGTTCCTAGAAAAAAAACAAGAAATTCCGCTTCCTGTAACTATGACCAAAGAGTCACGACAGTGCCGCAAATAAGTTTGTACGGACCAAAGCTTATGAACCATGAAGCAAGGAAATCATGACTTCCATTAGGATTTCAGTTTGGTACATGCTGCCACATTTGAAGAAACTTGCTGACCGCTCCATCTATCTCCCCAAAGCACAGGACGACAACTGCTGTTCCACCTGATTTATTGCTGTTTTGATGATGAATAAAAGACTTCTTGCTTGATACACTGTGTCACCTCATTCAATTTGTGTCCTAACATTTGTCGTCTCTTAGTATATTTCTAATCTAGGCATCTTGTTTTTAGGGCCCTTCTTGTTTTTTTTTCGCCCTCTCGCATTAGATTTAGTGTCTCCAAAGGACGTCATCCATAAAATTTTTACTTGGTGTGGCCTAAGGTACATGTGGATCATTCTTAGCGTCTCTAGCAAAGATAAAAGCCTATCTGTTCAATAGGCATATCGGACTCAGTAAATCAGTTAATATGTCTCTTCTTGGTAGTCCTTCATTGTACATGTACAGTGTTAGAAACACCCATCTGCAGTCTGCATTTTACAGAGACATTTTCAATACAGCAGAGGGAAAAATTAAGCAACCTGCAATTTTGCAGACTGCTATGTTTCAATTGTGTTAGCATATAATATTATTTGAGAGTTGTTGTGTTTACTACTGACGATATGATATACTGGTAATTTTTCAAATTGCATGTAAATGTTTGCCAACGTGTACGTAGTATGCCATCCATCGGTTTAGGTCAGGACTTATGCTAGTGCATTTGCAGAAAGTATTTCCGAATTGCAGAACAAAATTTTGACATTCTACAATATTGCACAACACTAAAAAATATTTCTACCAATGATAGATATCAAAGGAATTTTGCGATTTCCCTTCGTGCCTCACTAGTATCTGTTCTTGTCAGATATGTCGATTTTAGATATGAACCGAACGCTCTATTCAAAACCGACATCGCCGAACGCAAGCTGTCACGTCTTTACAGTTCACCATTACTCACTGCGTTAACACATCCCCACCATTTAACCCATGGCCTGGGTATTTAAAAGGCTGAATAAGACATACCTGTACAAGTGCCAGGTACACCAAACTGTGGCCTCAGGATTTGCAGTGCTGGTAGTACATTCCCCCAACATGTGCAGTACTCAACGCATACAGTTCAGACACGTATTTTTACCTATCCCGAATAAGCATTGGAATTTTCTAGGCTAACGGGTCGGTAACATTTTCAACCCTGGGGGTTTCCTACGCACCAAGAGCGTGAGAATTATGCATGAGGTGGTTCTATAATAATAATAATGGTTTATTTGTCACATATTCATTTGTACAGAATGGCAGGTCCCGTGTAATTGGGACCTGAATTGCTCTGACAATTACATATTTATCATTGGTTGATTAATAAAAAGTTATCACACATTAAAATCATTATCCGTCATTATTATTAATATAAAATACGTTAAAAGCTAATTCGTTTAAAATATCAGATTTGCGCACATGTACAGGTTGCATTAAAAGTCTTTGGACAATAAAATGGCAATCTCAGTCCCCATTCAGTAGTCGCACGATATGCGGTATTGCACTGTTTTTAAATCTCTCAGTTCTGGCAGTGACAGAGTTCAGTTTGTAGCTAGATCTAGTGTCTCTACCGCTGGTCTCTCCTCGAGTAGGAGGCAGCCACTGTCTGAATGTCGGGGACTCCATCAGACCGCGTCCGAACTTCAGGATCAGGTGTTGACGTCTTTGCTGGAGTGAAGGTAGACCTAGGAGACTGCATGCATCCGAGTACCGGGAGTAGTCTTTGCCAAGTATGATACGACATGCCCGGCGCTGGATGTTCTCTATCTGGGCTATCTGGGTGGAAGTCAGTCCGGGGCCCCAGACAGGGCAGGCGTATTCACACAGGGGACGTACGTAGCTTACGTACACAGTCACCAGGTCAGACACTGGTAGTCTGAACCTTTTCAGGTGTCTTAGGAGGAAGAGACGTCTGCTGCTTTGACTGGTGATGTGGTTGACGTGCGTGTTCCATTTGAGGTCAGATTGCACCATGACCCCTAACAGCTTGGCTACAGAGACTTCTTGAAGTGCATGGCCGTCAATGTATAAGACTGGGAGAGGAGGGGGGGTTTTTGTAAAGTACACATGCATGGCCTTGCATTTCTTTGGATGTAACTTCATGTAACTGTTCGCAGTCCACTGTTCCAGGTCGTCGAGATCATGTTGTAGGAGTGAGGGTTCGCGTGTTAGTCGGCTCTCAATCATTGAGAGATCGTCAACAAATTTCCAATTGGTGGATCGGGTCTTTACAGCGGCGCTGTTGATCATCGCTAAGAAGATGATGGGAGCCAAAACAGTGCCTTGTGGGAGGCCGCAGGTAAGTATCTCCCACTCGGAAAGTGAACCCTGGTATAGGACCCGTTGTCTCCTCTCAGAAAGAAAGTCGCAGATCCAGCGGGTCAGTGAAGGTCTGCAGCCTAACTCTAACAGCCTTGATATCGCAGTTGTATGTTCGACCCTATCAAAAGCTTTAGAGAAATCAGTCAAGACGATGCTGCTAAGTGTACCTCTCCGGTCCGCGGTAGAACTGAGATGGTGAAGGATGTCCACTAGACAATGTGTTGTTGATTTCCCAGGAAGTCCGCCAAACTGTTTGGGATCGATGTTCTGAATGATGTCTACCAACGTCCATTTAGCTACGAAGCCTTCACATACCTTAGCTAGCAGTGAGGTAAGTGAAACTGGGCGGATTTCTTCTAAGGACGGAGGCTTTGTTTTGGGGATGGGAATGACGGTTGCCTCGCGCCATTCACGAGGGACGAGGCCCTCACTCAGGGATGCGTTCAGAATGCATGTCAGTGGCTGGCTCAGTTCATATGCAAATTCTCTTATCAGCCGTCCTGTGATGTTGTCCGGGCCGGCCGCCTTGCGGACACGTACTTTCTGCAACCTGTCGTACATCTCCCATACTTTCACCTGTGGCGGCTGTAGATCTGGGAGGAAGGCGGGCAGGAGACTGATGTCCAGCGGTGGGAGCGACTGGGTTATTTTGCTGAGGCTGCTGTTAATCGCATCGGCCGATGCTTTGTTGTTGTCCGGAGCAATTCCGTCTATGTGGATTACAGGATTGGTTCTGCCCAAGTTAGCCATTGACTTAATGTCCTTGTGCCAGTTGGCTGGGTCGTGTTTCCGTAGGCCTTGCACTTTACTACTGTAGAAAGACTGTCTTGCGCTTCGGATTTTCGCCTGTAGTTTGTTACGTACGGCTTTCCATTCTGACGTCTTTCCGTTGTTAAGGGCTCGTTGGCGAAGGGATATGAGGTTCTTTATCTCAGGGGTGACCCATGGCTTGTCCTTACTATGGATCTTAATACTGCGCGTTGGGAAGTGCTCGGAGATTTTGACCTGGAGTTTGTTGTACAGGGCTGTTGTCATGGCTTGACTTCCCTCTTCTCGTGTGACCTCGGACCAATCATGCGATGTGATCCAAGCGCCGAACGAACGCAGTCTTGAGTCTGGCATAGGACGAACGGTTCTTCTATCTAGGGAAGTGGCCGTTAAAATACGGGGGCTAGTTTGTGCATTAATTACCACGCAATTCTGACGTCAACTTTAATTTGTAGCTAGCGTTACACTGGTAATATATATAGAATTTTACTAGCACAGCGCAAAACCGCAATGCTTTAAACCTGGCGTTAAAGTAGGAAAACTGTACTAAATTTGTTTGTATTTTGGATGATATATCTATTTATGTTTCCTTATCTTGAGTGACAGGACAAGTTCGTGATAGCTATGCCTGCAGCTGTAGCCTGTAAATAATACATGTGACCTTAAGAATAGTGATACTGTACAGCCTTTGACCTATAATATCGGTTACTGATGATATTTTCACACTTCAAATATCCAGTTGTGTTGGTAAAAAGCGACCAAGAGTTTATTATGTTTACCTTCGCAGAGGCAAAACATATTGTTTTAGCTCCGTTTCTTGCTCTTTTTCTTCTCCAAACAAATAAGGTCAATGACCTGAACCAGACGTCTGTCACCATGGTAACTGGTGCTGGGTACATCATGTTGCAATTCTATAGCAAGAGGGATTTAGACTCCTGTCTGACCATATATATGAATGTGTTTGAGTAAGAATTAACAGAGCAGACCATATGCGAAGGTAAACATTATGCATTTCCTTTGCAAATGTTACCTTTCTAGTATTATAGATCAGTCTTTACTACCCATTATGTTGATATTAGTCCTACCAAAGCCATTGGATTGATACCAGTCCTTGGTCCTACGAAGGTTTTGCTTGACCATAAAACTGAAATTTTGTTACGGCTGAATTCCACTCAAAGATATGTGGGTAATATATCAATGTTGAATTTACGAAACCACGTTAATAAAGTTTATGGAAGTTGATGTTGAAACATGATTTTAATCAAATCTAAAGTTAGATGGCCCCCAGTTCATTGGAGCTGCCTGACGCCATACGTCGTCTTACGGGTTTAGAACGACTGCAAATAACTAGATTTTCTGTGAATAATCTTGGTTGTGCATAGTACGAAACATGTGTGTGTTTGTGTGTATGTGTGTGTGTGTGTGTACGCGCGCGTACGTGCTTGCGTGCAACCAGCTTCCACAGAACTGATTATTTATCCCATTTCTATTTATCCTATTTCAATTCTATATGAATTCTCTCTCTGGTAAATTCATGGGATAACGGGGGCGCTACCCCATTAATTCACCATAAAGAGAATTCATATAGAAAACATTTTGTGGTATAATGGGGTAGAATTTTCTACGTATAACTTATCCCATGTAAAAGTAATTAGCACGTTTTTTAAAGACAATATTTTTCAGTACTAAATAAATGGGATAAATAACCAAAGCTGCTTCTATGAAAACTACATTATGTTTAAATCCATAGCTAATTACCCCACTATCTCTACCAGGTGTAAAAATGCTGATAGGCTGTCAAGTTCAGGTGAACTTGAATAAGGATCACTTCATTACGATTACGGCCACACTTCGTCCTTCCCTTTGGAACCATACAGACATTACGGATGCAAACCGTACCTTACACAAGTCTCCCTGTAGAGGAAGGCATGGAATGAGTGATAACCGGTAGAGCGTGAGACGCAGTTTTGCAGACACCCCAGAGTACACAGTTTGCCAGTAATAGTGTCTGTTCTGAATGTAAATACATCTATCTGACATACGTTGCAGGACGTACATTACGTTTCAGACATACATATTATATATAGGTTATGTCTGTGATTTTTGTGCTTCTTCTCGACAAATATCGTAGAATCTCCAACGTAGCCATCTACATCAGAGCACACCAACCTTCACTCCCGCAAACCGTGACGGTGGGCGGTACCGACTTCCGACGAACTTTGACCCAGTGCTGACGTCACACGTCGCTAAAAGTCACGTGTCCACAGCGCTCGAGTTATAAAGCTGATGAAGACTGAGCGATTCAGTCGAAAATTTCTGGTGAGTTAATTTTTTTTAGTTGGAGACTAGTTTAATTTTTCTTCATGTATTTTACCAACTCAGATGAACTTTCGCTGTCCGCTGGCAGTTTTGGATTTGTTTTACTTGTTGGTCCGAACATAGTAGGTTAAACAGCACGTGGGCGGGGATGATTGACAGGCAGAATGTCAGGAAATGGGGTTTACGTAAAGGTCTCAAGATCTAGAAGTCAGTAGGAATCAGGGGTCGACATGGGGGAATTCAGGAAGCCGAGGATTGCATATATTTCCTGGTAGTCTGAAATCTTCGATTTTCTGTTAGATGTGTCACAGTACCTCCGCTTGCTTTTATATATTCATCAGTAACTGGTTTGCATACTTGGGAACTCAACTGGGAAATCCACTACGTCTCTTCATTCCCAATAGGCTAATGAGTTTAACCTTGAACTGCGAGTCTTGCTGAGGGGCTGTTTTTATCTCACCAAGCAGCCCGGCTTAGCCTTGAGTTTAACAAGTTCTCAGCCGGATCAGTACATCATTACTGGAGAAGAAGAGGTTTTAAATCTGCGGCATAATCTGGAGCTTGAGCTATGACGTATATATTGCACCGGCCTTCGTCCTTCGAAGAAATCAGCAACTAGAAAGGTAACATTTGCAAAGCAAATGCATAATGTTTACCTTCGCATAGGGTCTGCTCTGTTAATTCTTACTCAAACACATTCATATACATGTATAAGGTCAGAGAGGAGACTAA